TCGTCGCGAAAATTCGGTTAAAGTGTCCTCTACATTCTTTTCCATTTCATTGACACTAAATAATCATACAATTTCGACAAAGATTTCGTCATCATCCGAATGAGAAAGTTATTTTTTTTTTGGAATAGTATCTAGGTCGAATAGGTTGAATTACAGATGGTCAAACGACCGCCCATATTGTCGATTTCAGTGATTTACGGCCGACACATTCTTATATAAAATCTGTTGACCCCGATAATCCAGGAAATTGCGACATAATTATTCGTTTTTAAACAAATAAATATATTTTTTAGAACAAAGAACGGTGAATGAATTTACATGACCTGAATTGCACGTTTCCGTTTCCTATTTGGTTACCGCTACATGGAGCGCTAATCCTTTAGGACTTGTAAAATTATATCTGCCATCGCGTTTCCTATTAGGCCAGCACACATATTGTCACTCTCTACATGGAGCGCTAATCATATAGGACTTGTTGAATTATATTTGACGTCGCGTTTCCTATTAGACTAGCGCACGCCCTCTGCGATCGTCTGCAGGCATTCATTGCACTGCATTCCATTTCATTATCGTTATTTTTTCAGGTTATTTGGTGGTTACAGGTGATGCAATAATTTTGAATATTTCTCGTTGTGTTTCGTTTTATTATTTCTGTTGATTCTGGCGTTATGGATGTAGAAAATTGAAAAGTTTGATACTATGTGTAAATTTATAAGTTGTGTCAGTAAGAAGGAGGAAAAACTTTATAAAACTGAATCAATTTGCACAAGCTCACCTGTCCAAACATATGCTAAAGAACATGAAAGAACTGAATGCTGAAATTAATGACATTGAAAATGAACATGGATTTTATGATATTTATTCTATCGTGAATGGTAAACTATCATTTAATCGACTCAAAACTCGTTGTTAAAGTAACACTTTATTTGAAGTAGTGAAATCGAACAATTTTTACCCACTCATTTGTCAATTTTACCCACTCATACGTCAATTTTACCCACTTGTTCAAACCTTTTTTAATAATTATAGTGTTTTTGACAGAAATCTGTTATGTTGCATGATTGACAACACCAGAAATGTGTCAGTTTGTTGGGTAGTCAACTTGTCAGAATCTATAGGCGATTTCGCCCCAGATTTTCATCTGGTGTTTGGTAGGCGAATGGTTAACCAATTGGTACGTAAATGACGTAGCTCAACAATCTCATCCGAATTCAGTGGATAGGGCGTTTGGTACATTTTGACTTTGACATGTTTATTTGGACATGAGAGAAAAAGAAACAGAAAGCTACCAAACCTCCACTACCCAGTCAAACCGCGGTTTAGCATCTGACAGACCAAAGGGCCTACCAAAGTTGTTGTGACAGCATCATTCACCCATCCGAAATTGAATGGTACCTGTTTGACAGACCAAACTGGGGTACCAAACTGAGGCGAAATCGCTTTATGTAAAATTTTAGCACATTTCAGCCTATGATTTTAGTAATTGTGATGAATAAAAACTTACTCAAGAATAAAATAGAATATTACACACGACGGTAAAAAAGCTTTACCTGTTCGTGGAATTAATCAACTCGCTCCTTCGTCGCTCGTGAATCAACATTTTCCACTCACAGGTAAAGCATCTTTTTACCATCTTGTATAATAAATAACTATTATTCCGCTGTAGCAACCAAATAACAAGGACGCCGAATCAAACTACAACCAACTTCGATTGCACGTCGTGATCTAATGCCGAAAAATTACGTAATAAGGTACTAAAGAGAAAAAGGTCTTTCATTTTTCAACTCGCTAGCTTAAATCGTTCAAAAGTTATGGCCATTTTAATACGAGTGAAGAATCTTATGTTTGCCATTAGAAAACACTCAAGCCTTGTACTTCAAACGGGAGAAGCAAATTCCAAACAATTTCTTGATATATATTGATAAATTTTGAGCTGATTTTTAATTTAAAATAAACCGCAACTCGCTAGCTTGAATCGTTCAAAAGTTATGACCATTTTAATACGAGTGAAGACTAGAATCTCATGTTTGCCATTAGAAAACACTCAAGCCTTGTACTTCAAACGATAGAAGCAAATTCCAAACAATTTATTGACATATATTGATATATTTTGAGCTGATTTTTAATTTAAAATAAACCGCAACTCGCTAGCTTGAATCGTTCAAAAGTTATGACTATTTTAAAACGAGTGAAGATTAAAATCCTATGTTTGCCATTAGAAAACTCTCAAGCCTTGTACTTCAAACGACATCAAATATTTTGGCAAATCAACCAAATGTCATTGAAATAATCGTTACCCTTTTATAAAATGTAAAAGGCTATTCTTTTATTTAATAAAAAAAAGTTAAACTCTGCAAGTTGTTTTGATAATTATTATCATTAAAATTTAACCCAATGTAATGTAACAGTATGGTTATCAAAATGAGCGTAGTTATTTAATTTATGTGCGTTGGTCTAATAGGAAACGTGACGTAGCATATAGCTTAACAAGTCCTCTATAGGAATAGCGCGCCATGTAGCGATAGAAAATGTGCGCTGGCCTAATAGGAAATGCGATGCCAGATATAACCTTACAAATCCTAAAAGATTAGCGCTCCATGTAGCGGTAACCAAATAGGAAACGGAAAAATGCACCCGGATTCCGAAATATTGGAGGAACGAAAAATATGAAAACAGCGGTTTTAGAAGTCTTCAGATCAGTTCAGTTTAAGTTTAAACTCAGCCTCAGTCTGCAGTCCAGTTGAGTCTTCAGTTCAATTTTGAGTTTAACAACGGTTTAAGTCTACAGTACCTAATGAGTCAATCTGGATAAGATTTGCTAAGAATTTCTTTTATTTTGTTGCTTCGGGAAAACGGGTTTAATCGAACTTTGAAAAGTAACGGAAAATTGTGAAAGAACATTTAATTTCATTCAACATTATGTGCGAGCTCTAAGTAATCGAGAAAAGGAATAATCAATCAGTTATCAAGAATTAGACTCAATAATTTAGTAGTACCTATTCAGAAGTGGGGAATTATCTCACGCTATTTTGAAGTAAAATAATTAAGTAACTTTATGGATGAAAATTTAAATGTAAATACTCTAGTGACTAGTATTATTTTTGACTTTATCAATGATGAAAATGACTACGAAGTGAATTGACTTTGAAACTTTATTGCATAAATATTATTAACTTAAGTGATTAGAATATGGAACATTATTGCATACATTTAATTGCCTTTGAGTGAAATAAAATTTAAATATTTTTGCTAAAAGTTTAAAAGGGGAAATTATAATGCACTTAACGATTGCCGATTTTTGAGTATGAATTTATTGAAGATTTTGAATTGAATTGTCTAATTGAAGTCTAAGGGTTCTAGTAGCTAACTAAAAAGAGTTTAAATAATTTATGTAATGTTGACTAGGAATTCGAAAAATAATATGGTTCTGTTTACGTATATGATCCTTAGTAAAAGATTGAATCATTAAAAGTAATGGAAAGTTTTGATTAAAAAAAAAATGTTGTTCATGAAGTAAGATTGTTGTCTTTAATGCTGAAATTTTGATCAAAGGTTAATCAATTAGAATTATTGTAAGGTTTTAATAAAAATATAGTTGTTACTATTTAATCTGAGTAAGTAGGTTTATGAATTTAAATAATTGTTCTGTATAAGTTGTCAGTAAATGACTTTAGGGGTTTTAAGAATTTTAGAATTTATAGTTATAGGTAATTGGTAGTTTTATTTGGAATTTGTATCGAAAGTATTGTGTAGAAGAATAAATGAATAAACTATAAGTTATTGAGAGTAAAGAAGTGGAGCTTTATAATATGGATAATTCCAGGGCGGAAATAATAAAGGAAGAAATCTTGTAGGATGATAAAGTTTGAAAAGTTGTGAAGTAAATTGAATTGGTAAACCTAGAAGTGGCTGTAAGACTTGGGAAAATATTTGTTTTATTTAATTTTTTTAATATTTAAGTATAATAAAGTATAATTTGGTAAACTTTAATAATTTGTTTCTCTCATTTGCGAATAGACCCCCTCCACAATTTTATTAGTAGCCGCCCAAGGAAATAAACACCACCAATAAAACCGCTCGCCATTTACCATCTTACTAATTAAAAGAGAGTACTTGGGCGCGTTATACTAAATTTTTTTCGATTCCCCCAAAAAATTCCTATGTCCATCATTCATTAACCTTCCTCTTTTATTTGTTTAAAATCGAATTATGTCGCAATTTCCTGGATTATCAGGGTCAACAGATTTCGTATAAGAATGTGTCGGCCATAAATCACCAAAATCGAAAATATGGGCGGTTGTTTGACCATCTGTAATTCAATTCTATTGGTCGACCTAGATATTATTCCAAAAAAAAAAAACTTTCTCATTCGGATGATGACGAAAACTTTGTCAAAATTGTATGATTATTTAGGGTCAATGAAATGGGAAAGAATGTAGAGGACACTTTAACTTGTAAATCACCAGTTTAATTTCTTTTACCTTGATTTTAATATTTTTATGGATTTGATTTGAACGTATTTTAGATATTTTAATTAATTTGGGTCAAAGTTAATTTGTTTAATTTTCAATTTATTGATACTGATAAAATTACAGGAAATTCAGTTTTTGATTATTTAATTACATTTAATTATTACAGTTAAGACATTGTAAATTACGGGTTTATTTTTCCCGGGTCATTACACGGTAAAGGTAAAATGATGGTAGACAACAACTAATAAACGAAAATGATTGCAAAAACATTCTTATTTTGAACATCACACGTGGGTTGAAACATGACTACAAAACTCGTATGATTAAAACGACGAGGTTATAGACCGAGTTTCACACTCGTTATTGTAATCATGTTCATAAACGCACTTGTAATGTAAATAACTATTATAGTAGTTCCGATAAAGGAGTTATTTCGATTGTTTTCATCAAGCCAAAAAAAAAAAGAAAAAAAGAAAAGGGAAATCTTTTTTATAAATGATGTAAGACATTCTGAATAAATCCAGAAAACTATAAAACAGAGTCGCACCCAGATCTGCAGCCAAAACTGAATTGATCCTTTGGCAGAGATGTAACAATTATTTCACAAACATCTAAAATATAGGCGTGTTTACTATACACCATAACGATTGTAAGTATAAACAGCAAAATATATCACCTTCCGGCCGTTTAGCAGGAGGCGGCGACGAATTGAACTCCTGCAGCGGAAGCTCGGTGATCTGGACCTCGGCCAACGAAATTTTGTCCGCAGAATGATAGTCGCCGACAAAGTTCGGCACAGTTTCTCTTTGCTTGAAGCTGTTTTGCCTTGACATGGCGTGATAAGGACTTTTCGTACAGTTGTATTGTCTGGTTTCGTAGGTTTTGTCGAATGAATCTCCTGAAGAACTACCACACATACCTAGAGAAGTTTTTAATTTATATAGTGATGAAAACTTGAATATTATCTCACCTTGTTCTGCCAATGCCTCCTTTTGTTTTTGTTTACTCTTTCCTCTATCTCGTTGATGATAAATTCCAGCAAATATTAAAACGTTGAGCAGCAACAGAAAACAGCCCACTGCAATTGTAACCGTCAGCGCAGTTGTGTAGGATTGGTAGTGACTCGAGGCGAGTTTTCTATTGAAAAATCAGCTTTGTTACAATACATTCTAGAAAATGGTTAATTGTTACCTCAATAAATTATTTGGATTTTTCGTTTGCAATATTATGGTAGTATTTGGAGGACACTCTGTGGTGGTTGCCTGTAGAGCTGTATCCGATTTTGGTGGTGGCGGAGTGGGCATTGTGGTTGTTGTTGAGGTAGGTTTTGTTGCTGTCATAGGTGGTGGGTTGGCGTAGTGAACGTAGAATGGACGTTCTTTGAGTTGTGGTCGTACTGAACCTATAACGAAACCGTTTTAATATAAATATTTCAGCTTAAATAACTTTCAAACCAAGTGCCCCCAGCTCAATATGTTTATTGATTAATGGAAATGCCTCTGAACCGGAAAAAGAAAAATTGAGGGCAACTATATTAGAACTTTCGGGCGCAGGAATAATTCGGGAATCTGATACATCATACGCTTTTCCCGTGCTACTTGTAGAGGAGAAAGACGGAAAAGACCGAATGTGCATTGATTATCGAGAATTAAACCTGAAAACAATCAAGGATAGATTCCTTCTACCTCGAATCGATGATCAAATAGATAAGTTGAGAGGATGTTCCATTTTCACTACCTTAGACTTAAGTTGTGGATACCACCATATAACTATTGCTGAACAAAGTAAACATTTAACATAATTTATAACACTAGAGGGACAATATGAATAAAATCGGATGCCATTTGGTTTATGCAATGCTCCAGCAGTCTTCCAACGCACGATGAACAAGATCCTAGCTCCATATCGCAATGTTGCTGCAGTTTACTTGGATGATGTCATTTTACCTAGTACAATTCCTGAAGAAAATTTAGAAAGTATTCGCTCCCTTTTAAAAGTGAGAACTTGACATTAAACATTCGCCATGTCCATGCATTACTTAGGCTTTGAAATATATGAACAAGGTGTGCGACCTGGTGCAGCAAAAATCGATACTGTCAAGCAAGTGCATACATTTTTGGGATTAACTGGATTCTTCCGAAAATTTGTTCAAGATGATGCTGCTCTAGGTATACCTCTAACATCACTCACGCGGAAAAACATCGAATAGAATTGGGGCGAATCGGTACAGATGGCATTTGAACATCTTAAGCAGAAGCTTATTAATCGGCCCCAATGAACTATTATCACAGATAGACGGATTTATAAACAAAAATATATGTTGACAACATGTCCGATTCTTTCTATCTTGACCAAATTCCCCCACTACTAAAATGCCACATGTGGTCGTAATATTTATTTTCTCTTTCTAACGCAGGTATAAAGTCCTGCCTTTCAATTACACTTGGCAACACAGCACTAGACTAAACTCAGCCTCCTGTTTGTCGTAGTAATACATTCCGTTCTGGCCCAAAGTATCTTGATGTCTCTTTCCTATGCGATGATGATTAGTATATATGTTAAAAAAAGACCGATACAGAAGATATGTTTGTGTTAGTCTGGAATACTTTTCGAATATCATCGTTTTGGTTTTGGGGCGGGACCAATTGAGCCTGGTACGTGGCAGGGAACAGCTGTTGAGGCCGGACTTAGATCGGGCGACTTATCCCCACCATGGACCGCCCAAACCCCTAATCCCCCCTGGCCTATAAACATGTTTTCAACACAACAAATAGTATTTTATGAATGGAATACTCTGTCTAACTGTGATAATAGGTCATTGATCGGCCCATCCTTGTAATTTATCACCCAAAGATGGAGACCGAAGTACATACAGATGATAGCCTGGATGGTATAGCCGGAATATTACTGCAAAAACGTGATTCCCAACTGAGACCAGTGGCCTCCTTCTACCTTCATTAACTAGGATATTCAGATCAAGCCTAGCTTGGTGTCACATATACCAACTAGCTGTTCAAGCATAAAGGTAGTATCATTAGTATATATCCAAAAAGGTAGAGCCGTCCATCAGCCTAGATCATTCAGACCAATAATTCTTTCATCATTCCTTCTGAAAAGTCTCTAGACTTTGCTGAACAGGGCGGCCGTGAACGATTTTGGTAGCGTACTGAATATTGAAAAGAAATTGTACTGAATCTGACAAAATTGTACTGAATGGCGGCAAATTCAAAAATTGGAATGTATAAAAGTGGTATTATATGGATCTATGTAAAAGTGGATGTTGAATGTATAGATCTATGTATAGATCGATGGAAGTCTGAAATGGAATTGTTTTTAATTTAATAATTTGTCTATAAATCTAGCTAAATGAAGTCAAGAGCAACTCGGGATTCCCAAAAACATAACCTAAATAAATGAACTATAGTTGATAAATTCAATCCAGAGCACTTTTGCAGTGCACGAGTTCATTAGGCTTGACATCTCTGTGACGTCACGTTACTCAGCACTCTGCTCGATCCGCTCGAGGCAGACCTAAACTGTTCTGGGTGTCAAAATTTGAATCTAAAATTGCGAGCTACTCTTTCCTCCAGCAACTAGATCGCAGCAAGAGCCGGGCTGGATTATTTGTGACTTGAAACAATTATTTCAAAAAAAGAATACAATTATTATTATAAATAGTTGAAAGAATATTCATTTCCCTGGATCATTCTTAATTTGGTTTTTTCATGGGTTATGGGAATAAGGAGTAAAGAAAACCACTTATCTTATGGCGACGTTTCGTATAAATGAAAAAGTATATATATTATACGAAACGTCGCCCATAAGATAAGTGGTTTTCTTTACTCCTTATTCCCATAACCCATGAAAAAACCAAATTAATTATAAATAGTGTTTTTTCTTATTTAACAAATACCTACAATTTGAAGTTAGAGTTTCGTACGGCAATTGGATGGTTTTTCAGAAGGTTGTACTGATGTACTGAATTAGCTGATTGTGTACTGAATTCAGTACAATTGTACCGTAACGGCAGCCTTGGTGCTGAACGCACGCATCAAAGAAGGGCCATTGGAGTACATCAGTACACCTATCGGAGTGGCAAATCGACGGAACTTCTCCTTCAGAGATTGGTAACAAAGTCAGCCAGTCTCTCTATGAATCGAGCTATTTTCAGAGGAATTGAACCTTTTATCTGTGACTGGATTCGCGAGTTGGTTGAGAACAGGTATATAACGACGATCCTACAGGGGAAATTTGCATGATGCGAGAGTGAAGGAATGACAATAAATCCTGATAAAATAATTGTTAAGCCCTTTACTAGGAAAAGGAAGCTTAACCATCTGATACCCCTTAACCTACGAGAGGTGGTGGTACCCTTTGCAAACGAAGTCAAATATCTAGGAAATACTTTAGATAAAAGGCTCACCTGGAACTTCCATCTGGCAAAAATAATACAGAAAGCTAGCTACTCACTATGGACGTTCCGCAGGATCTGTGGCAAATCATGGAGAATTGGGCCCAAGCAAATATACTGGTTATATATCATGATCATCAGACCAATGATAACATATGACTCAGTAGTCTGGTGGGGAAAAAGGCAACAGCGCACCGCCCAAAACATGTTCAACGGATTATAAAGACAGGCCTGTTTGGCAATAACAGGAGCTTTCAGCACTACGCTAACAGCAGCCATGGACCCACAGAATACAGCACACGAACAGAGATCGAGTGGATGACAAGGGGAACCTGGGAGGCACCGACCTGCTGGAGTTCATGAAAACACACAGCGGTTTGGGAATGCCTACGGACCTTATGCCAAGAATACACACAACAAGCGACCTACCCTACATAATGGCCTTCCTAAGAAAAGAAGAGTGGGTGCAGAATGAGCATTCCCTACTAAAAGCAGATCTGTATCTGTTCACGGATGGATCGAAGACACTGATGGGGTGGGGGGTGGGAGCGGGCGTTTATAGTGCAAAACCGAGGTAACCCAACAAACACAATTACATTCCAAAGACGTACATAAGATGTAACGTTTTGACATACTGTACGTTTGTAGGACGTCGATTTTAGAGCCAAGTACGTCTTGAAGACGTAATGGGCAAGTCGTATGTCAACTCCATAATACGTCTTAAAGACGTACAACTTAGAGCCATAAAGAACGTCCATAAACATCTTGAAGACCTAATTAAGTACATATTGCAAACCAAATAAAAGAGGATTTTTTTACTCAAATCGTTTATTATTTATTCGCTATTAGCTTACTAAACCTGGAATAACAACAAAAGAAAAACATTAATTCAAAAGTATTGCAACTATACCTACATAAATAAAGCATAACCTAAAAGAACTGCAGCAACATTCTGTTAAGGATTGATTGGGTTGGGACTCTGGTAAACTAATTAGCACAACACTGTTTCACTGAACTGACTGAACTTAATTTATTATTAATAAATTGGGAAGGGAATATTCTTTCCATAACCTTAGAAGCAGGTCTACAGTTAACAGAAGAACTAATTTTTAACCTCGTGTTCTGGAAACATCCATCAACATCACAATAACACATAAACTTTTTTGCTTATCTCACTTCTGAATTTGAAGGGATTCGTCTAATTAACTGAATTGTTGCTGTATTTTCTTTATTAAATAATTTTCACATAACTTTTGCACAAAATTTCTCAGGCTTCTAACCTACCGTGTCGTTCGCCACCGACGCCACCTCACCACAGATTCACCTCACATAAGACATAAAGACATAACCTCAATCTCGGAACAAGGATATTATACCTCAAAATCTACGTCATCATTTGTCTTTCAAAGTGACCATAAATGAGAGCGAAATTCAAATAAAGTCTGTTTTTTTTAAAGATAATAGACCGATCTCCTATTACCTGGACTGCGCGCGTCGCTTGTAGGCTGCAGGTGAACGTTCAATGAGAAGCAAGTTTGTTTCAGGCTTACGTCATATTCTTATTCAGGGGTGTAACGCCGTTACTAGAGTTTTTCCGTATTTCCGTATTCGACTGACTACAATCTCTGTTTCTTCTTTAAAACTGCTTGATAAAATAACGCGATTTCATTTAACCTATTTTCCTAATAAATGGTCCATGGAAAATAGGCTTTTCCGAGAGTTCTTGCTTTTCGCGATCAGCTGATGCCGTTTCAGTCACGGGCTTCGGTACAATTTCGCGCGACGTGCATCGAGCCTTTGCTTCTCCGACTAGCAATTCCTACTACCGACGCGTTTCCCCCGCCGGGATTTTTCTATAAAACTAGCGAACACGGCCAAGAATAGTGAATTCCGTCCGCCGTACCGACCAGACCAGCAGCTACCTACCCATACCGAGGTAAGCTGCTAATACCGTTTCCGAACCGTCAGCGCCGACCCGACCGTTGCCGACC